AGTAGTTTTCACTCAAAATGTCTAATCCGGTTTAACCGATTCAAACCGAACCGAAATCAGAAGCCAAAAGCTCGTCCGGTTTTCATTTTTCTATATCCAAACAAACCATAAACCAAATGAAAATGAAAATAAATTGGTTAAAATCTAAAATTATTCAACAACCCTTCAAAATACTTCAAAAAACTAAATCCAAAACAAAACCATATCAACATAATGAATGTATTTGGTGGTATATATTCGGTTCTCATTTGTTTTCCATATTTCAGAAATTTGGTGGTACTGTATACATTCGGTTCTCATTTGGTTTCCATATTTCAGAAATCTAGTTTTCATGTATATAAAATTGGGTTTTATCTCGGTTTAGGTGAAGATTCTACATTTTACCCCAAACCAGTTGTGATTACAATTATAGTAAACCAGTAGATCATCAGTGTTGTTATATGTCAGAGAGTGTTCTTTGAGACATTACTTTCCCATGGCATCGTACGTAGCAGCCAGATTGCTGTAAACGCCGAGAGTTTCCTGATTACACGGTCGGTCCACGATCCATTTGAAAAGCTAAGCGCGTATGATATACCCGCTTCATCGATCTTGAAAAGCTGAACGCAGGCCAGTCCCATTTGGTTCAATACAACCCCGAAGAAGGCAGATTTCTCACCCGCTGCTCGCAGCTTTGTCACAGCGCTCTCAAACGCGTTTCTTGCGTCCTCGTACCTCCCCAACATGTAATACATTAATCCCATTCGTGTCTCTAATCCTACAAGTATTTACACACAGCCAAATATAAAACAAAAGCTTTTGAAGAAAATAACATAAATGTATGTTTGGTTTTTGTCTGTGTATGTATATTATATTATTTGGCGATACGCCGGTTGATGGCGTGATGAAGATTATGAGGTTGGTGGTAATCAAGAGAGCAAGGCTAACAGTAGCAGAGGAGATAACAATCACATGGATGAGACGTATTTGAACAGCAATCAGATTGTTAGCAATTACACCTATGACAAAAACCCTTCAAAATATTTCAAAAAACCAAATCCAAAACAAAACCATATCAACACAATGAATGTATTTGGTGGTATATATTCGGTTCTCATTTGGTTTCCATATTTCAGAAATATAGTTTTCATGTATGTAGAGTTGGGTATTTGTGAGAAATAACATAATGTATGTTTGGTTTTTGTCTGTGTATGTATATCATATTATCTGGTGATACGCCGGTTGATGTCGTGATGAATATTATGAGGTTGGTGGTAATCAAGAGAGCAAAGCTAACAGTAGCAGAGGACACATGGATGAGACGCATTTGAACAGCAATCAGATTGTTAGCAATTACACCTATGACGAAGCTGAGGCCTTAAGTGATGCGATCGAAGGAAGTTGGTAGGAACAGAGAGATCTTTCTCAACAAAGAAGACGAGGTTTGATCCAAAGTCCTTGAATTGCGCAATCAGAGTCTTTGTTAATTCCATCAGTGAAAGCTTGTCTCTGACCATCAGAAAGTCTGTTAACGAAACATGGGATTCGCCAAGACTTTGATAGCGTATGGGTTTTTGATCTTTTCATTAAGACACTCTTTTTTCTTCTTTTTTTCTTGACACTTGAGGATTGAGTTGTTTATGGGTTTAATGCAGAGAGTGGAAAGAGCTGGTTGATCAGCACCACAAAGGAAATCACTAGTAATTGTTTGCTCTCTCTCTCTCTCTCTCTCTCTCTCTCTCTCTTTGCGACTCTTCTTGTTGGGAATTGGGATTCACGTCTTACGGTTTTGGTTTCTTGAATTAGATCCATAGTCTTTGATTCTAATTTTCGGTTTAAAACAAGTGCTGCTGAAGGTACACCAGAGTCTGCGAATCCGTCTATTGTCGATGAAGAAGAAGCGCTCCCATCGCTTCCATATGATGTCGACATCTTTACACCGCAGCCAGACGTATTTGAGATGGGAAACTTCTTTGATTCAATTGAATTTGATGGGAGTGAGTTAAACTATTCTCTTGTTTGTTTGATATTTACAATGTTTTAGCTTTGGTTCATTAATTTTCCCGTGCGGATTTTGGTTTCAGATCCGCGCAACTCTAAGGAATACAACAAAATCCGAGAACACGAGAGAAGACCACAAAATATCGCCAAGAGAAGAGCCGATGGAACACAAACGAGGATACAACTCTAAAGCCATCATGAGCTACTGATTTTGATGGGATTAGGAGACCAACTCTAAAGCAAAATACAGAACACATGATGAAGAATGAAATGGTATCTGTTCACAAGTTCGAAAAACACATGATCCAATTCTTCGATCAAATCACGTATGGATTTCAATATCAGTAGAGATATCATAAAGCTTTTAGTCAAACTCTACCACAAAACAAGAAAAACAGAAAAACAAAAATACTAGATACAATTTGATACTCTGGTCGACAACTGATCCCAAAAGCCAAGCATACTGTATTATAGTTTTATATGACTCCCATGAACTGTTGTGGACCGTCAGTAACACGTTAAAGCCATTATCTTGCAAGGTTTTTACAGCTCCAGCGAAATCTGAGTCTCCAGAGAAAATAAACACATTTCATGACAACCAGTTTGACTGAGACTGCTTCATGATTTGCTGCACTAAAAGACGATCACCCACGTCATACACTCTTTGGAAGGGGTCCTTATCATTATGCCACTGAAGTACTGTTTTACAACCTAGGTATTGGCACTTCCTGTAGCGGTAAGGCACATCGATCTTGCTGAAATGATTCTCCTTTAGATAGGCTCATTTCATCTTGACAAAATCCTGACCCTTGTTACAGACTACAAACTTCAGTTCAGTGATATGGTACCTCGGGTCTGCCCTTATAAGGGAGTCTTCAATGTTGGGTAACAATCTTTCCATCTTTTTAGGCTCAACAGTCGTGTTTTCCGCATCCCAGAAGAGAGTGATTGCATAATCTGGATCCAGTGCCATTGTTGACAAATCAAAATTAATATCGAAAGAGGAAAGGAGAGATGAAAAAAAACCAAATCAAAGGTGGAAGGGAAGGATGAAACCCTAGATTTTACGGCACGCTTCATATACCTTCTGAATTTAGGTTATAGTAGACGGGCTGGACTTTCCATGGGCCAAGCCTTGTTTGGTTTTAATTTGGGCTAAGTGGTCTAACCAGTCGGGCCTTTCGTAAGTGAAAATAGGGATGTCCATTACGCTAAAGTCCGATGTTTCACCCTACTTGTCCCTGAAAATTAGCAGATTCGGACTTTGATATATTAGCCCCAAAAAATTAGGCATTTTGGGCCAAGCCCATTCAGGCAAATCAAAAGAAAAAAAAATACTAGATACAATTTGATACCATAGTCGACATCCGATCTCAAAGGTAAGCATATTGTACCATATTTTTATATGACTCTCTTGAACTGTTGTAGACCGCTAGTAACAAGTTAAAACCATTATCTTGCAAGGTTCTTACAGTTCCAGCGAAATCTGAATCTCCAGAGATAATGAGCACAATTCATGACAACCAGTTTGACCGAGACTGCTTCATAATTTGCTGTACTAAATGACAATCACCCACGTCGTACGCTCTTTGGAAGGGGTCTTTATTATCCTGCCACTGAAGTACTGTTTTACAACCCAGGTATTGGCACTTCTTGTAGCGATAAAGCAAAATACAGAACACATGATGAAGAACGAAATGGTATCTGTTCACAAGTTCGAAAAACACATGATCCAATTCTTCGATCAAATCGCGTATGGATTTCAATATCAGTAGAGATATCATAAAGCTTTTAGTCAAACTCTGCCACAAAACAAGAAAAACAGAAAAACAAAAATACTAGATACAATTTGATACCCTAGTCGACATCTGATCCCAAAGCCAAGCATACTGTATTATAGTTTTATATGACTCCCATAAACTGTTGTGGACCGTCAGTAACACGTTAAAGCCATTATCTTGCAAGGTCTTTACAGCTCCAGCGAAATCTGAATCTCCAGAGATAATGAGCACATTTCATGACAACCAGTTTGACCGAGACTGCTTCATGATTTGCTGCACTAAAAGACGATCACCCACGTCATACACTCTTTGGAAGGGGTCCTTATCATCATGCCACTGAAGTACTATTTTACCACCCGGGTATTGGCATTTTCTGTAGCGGTAAGGCACATCGATCTTGATAAAAGGATTCTCCTTTAGAAAGGCTTCTTTCTTCTTGACAAAATCCTGACCCTTGTTACAGACTACAAACTTCAGTTCAGCAATATGGTACCTCGGGTTCGCTCTTTTAAGGGAGCCTTCAATGTTGTGTAACAATCTTTCCATCTTTTTAGGCTCAACAGTGGCATTTTCCGCATCCCAGAAGAGAGTGATTGCATAATCTGGATCCAGTACCACTGTTGACAAATCAAAAGAAAAAACAAAAGAGGAAATGAGAGATGAAAAAAAACCAAATCAAAGGTGGAAGGGAGGAAGAAACCCTAGATTTTACGGCACGCTTCATATACCTTCTGAATTTAGGTTACAGTATACAGCTTTCCATGGGCTAAGCCTTGTTCGGTTTTAATTTAGACTAGGTGGTTTAACCAGTCGGGCCTTTCGTAAGTGAAAATAGGGATGTCAAGTAGGCTAAAATTCGAAGTCTAGCCCTATTCATCCCTGAAAATTAGCAAATTCAGACTTTGATAAATTAGCCTAAAAATTAGGCATTTTGGGCAAAGCCCATTCAGCCAAATCAAAAGAAAAACAGAAAGTAAAAAAATACTATATACAATTTGATACCCTAGTCGACATCCGACCCCAAAGCCAAGCATGTTGTACCATATTTTGATATGACTCTCTTGAACTGTTGTGGACCGCCAGTAACACGTTAAAGTCATTATCTTGCAAGATTTTTACAGTTCCAGCGGAAAAAAATTAATATCCAAAGATAATGAGCACATTTTGTGACAACCAGTTTGACCGAGACTGCTTCATGATTTACTGCACTAAAAGACGATCACCCACGTCGTATGCTCTTTAGAAGGGGTCCTTACCATCATGCCACTGAAATACTGTTTTACAACCCGTGTATTGGCACTTCCTGTAGTGGTAAGGCACATCGATCTTGATGAAATGATTCTCCTTTAGATAGGCTCCATTCTTCTTGACAAAATCATGACCCTTGTTACAGACTACAAACTTCAGTTCAGCGACATGGTACCTTGGGTCCGCCCTTTAAGGGAGCCTTAAATGTTGTGTAACAATCTTTCCATATTTTTAGGCTCAACAGTGGCGTTTTCCGCATCCCATAAGAGAGTGATTGCATAATCTGGATCCAGTGCCATTGTTGACAAATCAAAAGAAAAATCAAAAGAAAAATCAAAAGAGGAAAGGAGATATGAAAAAAACCAAATGGAAGGTGGAAGGGAGAATAAAACCCTAGATTTTACGGCGCGCTTCATATACCTTCTGAATTTAGGTTACATTAGACGGGCTGGGCTTTTCATGGGCCAACCCTTGTTTGCTTTTAATTTGGGCTAAGTGGTTTAACCAATCGGGCATTTCGTAAGTTAAAATAGGGATGTCAATTAGGCTAAAATCCGAATTCTAGCTCTACTCATCTCTGAAAATTAGCAGATTCGAACTTTGATATATTAACCAAAAAAAATTAAGAATTTTAGGCCAAGCCCATTCAGGCAAATCAAAAGAAAAACAGAAAAAAAAATACTAGATACAATTTGATACCCTAGTCGACATCTGATCCCAAAGTCAAGCATACTGTACCATATTTTTATATGACTCTCTTGAACTGTTGTGGACCACCAGTAACACATTAAATCCATTATCTTGCAAGGTTTTTATAGTTTCAGCAAAATTTGAATCTCCAGAGATAATGAGCACATTTCGTGACAACCAGTTTGACCGAGACTGCTTCATGATTTGCTGCACTAAAAGACGATCACCCACGACGTATGCTCTTTGGAAGGGGTCCGTATCATCATGCCACTGAAGTACTGTTTTACAACCCGGGTATTGGAACCTCCTGTAGCAGTAAGGCACATCAATTTTGATGAAATGATTCTCCTTTAGGTAGGCTACTTTCTTCTTATCAAAATACTGACCCTTGTTACAAAAAACAAATTTCAGTTCAGCGATATTGTACCTCAGGTCTACCCTTTTAAGGGAGCCTTCAATGTTGTGTAACAATCTTTCCATCTTCTTAGGCTCAACAGTGGTGTTTTCCGCATCCCAAAAGAGAGAGTGATTGCATAATCTGGATCCAATACCATTGATTTATCCAAAGAAAAATCGAAAGAGGAAAGGAGAAATGAAATAAAAAACAAATCAAAGGTGGAAGGGAGGATGAAACCCTAGATTTTGTGGTGCACTTCATATACTTTCTGAATTTAGGTTACAGTAGACGGGCTGGGCTTTCCATGGGCCAAGTCTTGTTCGGTTTTAATTTGGGCTAAGTGGTCTAACCAGTCGGGTCTTTCGTAAGTGAAAATAGGGATGTCAATTAGGCTAAAATCAGACGTCTTGGCCTACTCGTCCCTGAAAATTAGCAGATCCGGACTTTAATATATTAGCCAAAAAAAAATTAGGCATTTTGGGCCAAGCCCATTCAGCCAAATCAAAAGAAAAATAGAAAAAAAAATACTAGATACAATTTGATACCCTAGTCGACATCCGAATTAAAGCCAAGCATATTGTACCATATTTTTATATGACTCTCTTGAACTGTTGTGGACCGCCAGTAACACGTTAAAGCCATTATCTTGCAAGGTTTTTACAGTTCCAAAAAAATCAGAATCTCCAGAGATAATGAGCACATTTTGTGACAACCAGTTTGACCGAGACTGCTTCATGATTTGCTGCACTAAATGACGATCACCCACGTTGTAAGCTCTTTGGAAGGGGTCCTTGTCATCATGCCACTGAAGTACTGTTTTACAACCCGAGTATTGGCACTTCTTTTAGCGGCAAAGCACATCGATCTTGATGAAATGATTCTCCTTTAGATAGGCTCCTTTCTTCTTGATAAAATCCTGACCTTTGTTACAGACTACAAACTTCAGTTCAGCGATATGGTACCTCATGGTCCGCCCTGTTAAGGGAGTCTTCAATGTTGTGTAACAATCTTTCCATCTTTTCAGGCTCAACAGTGGTGTTTTCCGCATCCCAGAAGAGAGTGATTGCATAATTTGGATCTAAAAGAAAAATCGAAAGAGGAAAGGAGAGATGAAAAAAAACCAAATTGAAGGTGGAAGGGAGGATGAAACCCTAGATATTACGGTGCGCTTCATATTGTTCTGAATTTAGGTTACAGTAGACGGGCTAGGCTTTCCATGGGCCGAGCCTTGTTTGGTTTTAATTTGGACTAAGTGGTCTAACCAGTCGGGTCTTTCGTAAGTGAAAATAGGGATGTCAATTACGCTAAAATCCGAAGCCCACAAAAAAATTAGCAGATTCGGACTTTAATATATTAGCCCAAAAAAGATTAGGCATTTCGGCCCAAGCCCATTCAGGCTTATCGATTCTTGGGTTTAAACCTGATTGCGTATGAATTTATCTGAAAAGCGCTGCAATATATTATAGTTCATTTAAAGATTTTTCTTTTAGAATTATTTTGTTTAAAAATAATACTTTATATAATTTTTAATTAATCAGAAACTCTAATTTTCTAGTTATATGCCTCTCTATGATTGTAAGATTAAAGTTGATTTACATCTCAAATACAATATTTACTATATAGATTTAAAGTGTTTTTATAATTTATTGCTATTTGATATTATAAATAATCTGAACTTATTAAAGTTAAAGATTTGTTTTTAATTTTAATTGATTCTATTGAAACCATATGAATAATTGTTTTATTTAGATTTATTTTTAATAAACTCCTTTTTTGTCTTTTTATGCATTTTTTAATTTTTTAAATAGCTTGAAAAATCTTTAACAAAACCCTATAATTCGGTTAGAATCTGATCAGATTTTAGAATGTAGGCCCGAAAATATTTTGGGTTGGGCTTAAATATATGTGGGCTGTATATAAGAGAATTCAGGAGGAATGTGAGGTTCAAGACAATGCCTAATCTAGTGCAATCCAAAATCAAAATCACCCCCACAAGTTCCTCGAATTATTGCGATTTATGACATATGTATGGGTTCTGAAGATGAAGAGTGGCTGGAAAGGCAGAATGAGGAAGATGAGCAATCTCAGCAGGATACTTTTGAATTGATGATTGATGGGTCTTGAAAAGTGCCATTTTTGGAAAGCAGCCACTATAGCTAGTCTTTCGTATATGGGTATGCAAGAGGTGGTTGAAGCGGCACATGATAACTGGGCGAGGAAAATGATGCAGAAAAAAGCACCCCTCCACCAAGTTTTCCAGGTAAAGTCATGTTACTGTGTAGAATTAGGTATTGAACTAACTTGCTTTATTAACGTGGATAGACAAACATATTTAAACAAGTATAAGACAACCAGTCTAGCTTTGCAATAAGTAAACTATCCTTATCTCTATTGGAAAGTATACATATTTCCTAAATATACATAATATGGTATATATCTGCAATAATCTCCCTCACGTTGGAGCATGAAGATTATTAATGCCTAACTTGGACAACAAACTTTAAAACTGGGCTCGACCAAGTGCCTTACTAAGAATATCAGCAACTTGAACATCTGAACAAACATGTTCGGTGACAATAAGACCATCCCAGACTGCATCTCTAACTGCATGACAATCATTTTTCATATGCTTTGTTCGTTCATAGAATATCGGATTTACAGCAATATGGATAGCTGTCTTGCTATCACAGAACAACTGAGATAGAGCAGAAACATCAATACCTAGTTCTTGTAACAACTTACATACTTATTTGATTTCTCCAAGTGCGGCAGACATGCCGTGATATTCAGCCTCCCCAGACGAGTGTGAGACTGTATCTTGTCTCTTGATCTTCCATGAGATAGGAAAGCCACCAAGCAACACAACATATGGACTAAGAGAACGTCTAGTCAAGAGATAAGCGGCCTCCCATTTGTTTCAACTACTATCTCTGATTCTTGGCAATCCAAAAGCTTTGCAATAAATTCTTCCATATAATCAAACTAGTATATTATATTACCTCTGCTCAATTAACTTATATACAATCTCAATGGTAAGTTTAAACGAGCTAATTATATTAACTTACTATTACTAGGTTACATGGAAACTTTATATGAGGTGCGTTTCCTATTTTCGAAACGTTTCGGAAACCAAAACTCTCGGAAACTCGTCAGAAATACGAAAAAATCGCGTTTCCTAAAAATTCTAATTTGGACACATTTTGGAAACGCATTTCCATTTTAGAAACACACGTTTCTATTTTGAAATCAAGATAAAAACTAGTTTTTTATGTTTTTGGAACAAATAAATTATTATAAAAATGAGATCAAGTGATCAATTTAATTCTTTATAGTAAGTTAATAATTATTTTGATTTGGTAAATAATAATAATTTTGATATTATTGAGTTTGAAAATCGTTCTCTCGATAAATTAGAATTAGAGATAGTTTTGGTTGATAGAACTAATGAAATTTACAATAAAGAAAATCTTCTAAATTTTTGACTTTACATATTTTAATTTTAATTATTTAATAATTATGTAAAAATAATATATTAGATTTTGTTGATTTAAGTATTCTACTTGTATTATATTTTAGATGTTTAATGCTTAATATACATATATATATATAATATATGTTTCCAAAATGTTTCTGTTTCTATATTTTTTTAAAATAGCGTTTCCACATTTCAAAACGTTCAGTTTCCATGTACCCGTTTCCGTTTCCATGCAACAAAGTGAGGATAAAATAATTATTATTTCTTAAAATTTAATATAATTTCAAAATTATATAATATAATAGAATTATTTTTTATGAATATATTATAACATTGACAATATAGTTTTTTGTTTTTTATTAAATATAAGGTAACTTTATTGTTATTCAAATTAATTAAAAATTAAAGTATCATGCATAGCATATGATATAGTTTGGTAAAAATACGAAGTCGCCATATAGATTTTCTATATCCTGTGATTAATGATGATATGATTCAGCATTTTTACTAATGTCAAAGATTTAGGTATACAATATTTGTGTATATATTTAATTACTAAAATAATAAGTAAATGGTATTAGTTAAATAATTTATTACTTATCTACTATATCAAATGAATTAAAGAAAGACACAATTTTATGTTTTTAATTCAAATATAACGATAAATTAAAGTAAATAATTCTCTTTGTAAAAGAAAAGAATAGTTCTTGACTCTAAAAATATTTAATCAAAAATTATTTTCTAAAATATAATAGTCTTTACTAATCTACATATAAAAGCATAGATTGATCAGAAGTCTGTCTATTTATAATAAAAATAGTATATATTAGTAATGATTTTGGTATATGTAAATAATTATAAGACAGTGATTTGTAAATTGATCTGAATAATTATACTTCGAGAATTTTAGAATTAAATAAAACTCAAAAAATATTTAAAAAATAGAAATCTGTGTAAATTCGTATAATAAACAATAACACATATTAAATGATAGAAGAAAAAATACATGACAAAATTATAAATCATATTTGTTATGTGAAACTTAGAAATCATATAGATTTCATTCAATTCGCGTAATTTTAAAACACACCTCACAATATTAATATCAGTAAACCACCAATACTCATCCAACCAAAGTTTCTATATGCATCAAATTTGACTTAATTTTGCATGTGTATAATTAAATAGACGATAAATTATAGACTGAAAGTATAGTATATACATAATCAAATAAAATATTAAATTTAAGATATAATAAATATGATTCGAGTTTTAATGTATTTTTGATATTATTGATAATACAGAAAATGATGTAACATATAAAATATGTTATAATTAGTCTCTATAAAAATATTATTGTCAGTTAAAATATAAGTTTTCCCATCTTATATATTGTTTTCACTCTAAATAAAAAATAAATATTAATAATTTATTAGAAAAAATGTCATTACTGTTGATAATCAAAATCTTTAAATATGTATATCTAAATTAACAAAACAAATTTTAATTAATAGATTAGTAATCAATAGTATTACTTATAACTAAATTAAATTAATAAATATACCATAAATTAAATTATTTATATTATTAATATATATTAAACACAATAAAATTTGTTTTTAATTAATGAATTATTTAAAGAGCTCGGGTATGTTAAAGACCAAGCACAAACACTACTATCTTTTTTTAACTGCAATGCTCCATATATTAAAATTCAATACCAAAGATATTTTGCTCGAGAGCCAGCGACTCTGGAAGAGATAAGTTTACATGGGAAAATATCAAA